TTTATACTGCGGGGCCTTCTTGGAGACGTCTCTCCAAAGTTACTCTTAGGAGACAGGTCCCCTGAGAGAAGGGAAGGGAAGAAGAGGGGCTAGGGGGCGGCCGGTGGGGCGGGGGGCGGGGCAGCAAAGGGCACGCGCCCACCGCGCGAAAGGCTAGGGGCGCCCCGCGGGCCCACGTCCGCCGCCCAGCGAGACGCGCCTATCCCGCGGGGCAGGGGCTCTCGTGGACGCCTAATTACCGAGAGCACATCTGGAGCAGCTGCGCCCTAGCCGGCCTCGGGCACATTACTCCGCGCCAAACCCTATTTTCATTCCCGAGGCTGAATCGTAAAAGGCTCTAGAGGCAGGATAAATTCGGGTCTGCGTGTGTCAGCAGTCTTGTGTGTGTGTGTGTGTGTGTGTGTGTGTGTGCGCGCGCGCGTGCGCGCGCGAGTATGTGAGAGTCGGGGAGGCGTCTGTGCGTCTCAGTGTGATGGCCCAATCGATTCGCCAAAGTTAGGGGGAGAAATGGAGCAACATCAGGCGAATTCAACTGCGAACATACTGTCGGCCTCATTATCTGCCCATTTCCAGGGAAAGCATTTGGGGCTGGGAATTAGCCAGTTAATTGCATCACTTCTTTGTTCACTTTAGGGCAGGAGAAACTATCCGCTTTCTATTCAGACATTCCATATTTCAAAAACTTTAAGATCTTCTCATTGTCAATTTTCTTCATTTCCATCCGAGTCATACCACTGAACGTTCAGATCTGCGGGTATCCCATCAACATTATCACACACACACACACACACACACACACACACACACACAGGCTTTATGCTGGGAAAAATAACTCGGATTTTGCAGCCGCAAAATCTCGGTGTCTTAACTCTTAGGGTTGTTGTAAGGATTAATTAATGTACAACGTATCTAGGATTTAGCGCAATGCCCAGTGAACAGGGAGCATTTAGTAAATAATAACTATTAATAACAAGGAAGAGGAGGGGGGAAGAGGGAGAGGAGGAGGGAAGGGGGGAGGAGGAAGCCTGCTTTGTTCTCAGAGAACTAGTCTAGGTTGGAGGGTACGTTCTCAGCCTGTATATGTATAATGTATTCTTTTGACTTAGAGCAATGTCCATAAAAGTGAGGCCCCTTGAACCCCTTGGCCTGTAACTACCTCTTCAATAAGGAACAGAGAATTGGGGCAATTATCTGGCTCATTTCAGGTTCAAACTCCCTTTAGCCTGAAGTATCTGGATCTGGTGGGGGAAAGTCTGGGGAGTGGTGGCATATTCTCATGCAGTTTCTCAATGAGACTTTCCCCTTTGCTGGAGTGAGCAGGATCCTGCCTTAGAGAATGGATACAAAAGAAATAGGGTGCCCAGAAAGCTGGAATTAAAGCAGAACATCTGAGAAATAATTCGGAATAAAACCAGGGCTTGCTTATCTCCTGGGCATCAGGAGGCCCTCAAGTTCTCCATGCATCAGCCTCAGAAACTCCCCAAACAAATCATTAGACCTTTGCCTGGTGGGAACTCTTATTTCACATTCCAGAAACATCTCAGTGCCTACTGTGTGCCCGGCACTGGGCTAAGCTCTGGAGCTCCAGCAGGAGTTGCACTCCACCAGTTAGCAGTGCTGACTTGCAGCCAGTAAGAGGTCTCTGCCCCCAGAAACTAGTCCAGGGATCCGGGAAGGGGGAAGACCCTGCTGGGCAAGAACTTCTGGCCAATGACAGCACTGCCTTTCCAGGGCCAAAGTCCTGGTGCAGGGGAGGGGCCAGATGGTCTGAGGGCAGCCCCCTCCCATTGTCTGTCTGAAAGAGGCCAACTCCATGGTGGGGATGGCCTTGTGGGTGGGGGGGACACAGGGAATTGAGAAGGGGTGGAGAGATGGCTAGAGGCTCCTGACCCTCAGTCGGAAGTCCTGAGAACACCAATTAGCTTTTTTTTTTTTTTAATTAGTAAAGTAGGGAACAAATGGGAATATATTTCTTCTGCTCTGATTAGAAGTATTTAGGTCAGGTGTTCACAGCCTGAATTCTTCAGTTTAAGTTGTCCCAAGCAGAAAATTGTTTATTTTTTCTTTTTATTTGCAGGCAGGGGTTTGAATACTATTAGCCAGCCCTTGGTTTCCCGTTAGAGCCTAGAACTGTGGTAGGTGGTGTTTGTATCAGCCCAGAGAGAGGCAGCTAGCAATGGATTAGGGACTTTCCTTCCCCAAGTCACATTTGCTTGAAATGTATAGGCGATTGAGGACCAACCAGGAGGGGCTGTGTGTGTGTGTGTGTGTGTGTGTGTGTTGGGAGGGTTGCAATAAGCCAGATAATTTCCTGGTCCCTTAATCTGTCTGAACATAGTCCTAGAAAGAAGGAAGTCTGTTCACTTCCCAGACCCCAATGAAATCTGACTTTTTTCAGGGTGATCTTGGTCAAGTCACAGGAGTGGGGAAAAGGCCAGAAAGCTGATACTAGGCTGTGGACAAAGAGTTTAAAGAAGCCACAACAACACACGTGCTGGGTGAGATGAGAAAGTCTCCCAGGCTTGTCAGGGGCTACCTGATATGTTTGGCTCCTACTAAGAAACTTACAAAAAATGTTCAGGAGCAAGTTTGCCCCCTCTTAACCCCGAGTTCAGTACCCCTACCGCTAAACCCTCAGCCCCATGAGGAGCTGGGGTCTCTGAGGAAATGGAATTAAGTAGATTAACAAGGGACACAAAAGAATATTCTCCTGCCTGATCCCTACTTGTTTGGCTCACAGACAGCATCATCTGGGGGCCTGTCACCAGATAGCCTTCCCTTCCCAGGAGTTTCAGTACTTTTTTTTTTTTTTAAATTTCCTGGGTGGCTGCCCAAGTCCCACTTCCTTCCAGCATCTGGTCCCACCCTGGACCAGTCCATGGTCAGTTTTCCCCAGCAAAGCTCTTCCCATTTTCTGGACCCCTGGTCAGGGAAAGAGAAGAAAGAATGACCCCCCACTGGGAACCCAGACCCTATGGGTAGTGGTGGGGAGAGGAACATTGCTGCATAGATGTTTTTAACGATGAAGGTCTACCTGGTAAACACCGAGATATCAGCTACGGGAGAAAATAAAAGCAAAGACCTATATTAACTGACCATATTTGGTCTCAGCATTTTCCAGACACCTACTTCTTTGATCAATCCAAATAGGAGTTCTTAACCTGAGGTCCAAGGATACTGATCCTCTGAAATTGTGGGATTTGGTGGGCACTATATAAGTACTCCCCCCTCCCCCCCAGGAAGGAACCAATAGTTTTCATCAGATTTTAAAGCATCATTGTGTGAACCCAAAAATGTTAAGAACCTTTCATCCACCATACACATACAAATACCTCAAATGAGATGCAGAGGGAGACAGTGAAATAGAATTTGGGTACCTGACGGGAAAAATTAAAAGAGAGGATGAACAATTGTAAGTGTATCACAAGGTCAGGAGTACAGTGTCACCTGGCCTGCCGGGGAACAACGAACAATGGGCACCTGCTTACCGGTGCTGAGGACCCTAGGACTGAGAGAGATGGCCCACAAGCCCGACCTGACCTCGTTGCACCCTTGCCCCCTGCAGAGGAGGAGCGAGCAGGGTCTTTGGGTCTCTATTCTAAATGCTATGGAGCTTTTCTCGACTGGGGCCTGGATCTTCTCCAGCCATTTGTGGCCTTGATCCGAAAAGGAGCTGAAAGTTTCAGCATCCGTTTTCCCCTCGGGAAGGCCCTTGCTCCTGGGGGGACGTGCTGTGGATATCTCCCGGGATCTCTAGGTCCCCCAGTCCCAGCCAAGGCTGGGGGGCCGTGTCTGTGACCCCGGGAGCCTAGACCGCCAGCCAGGCCGCTCTTCATGACTTTAAAGTTCTCTTGGCCTCGGGTTGGGCGCCGAAAGGGGAGCGAGAGACAGCTGAACAGGTAGACAGAAGCAGACACAAAGAACGGGGCCCTTGAAAGCAACCAGAGAGAATGACAAAGAGGGAACCGAAACCGTCAGACGGGAGCTGGGAGCCGGAGCGCGGCGGCAGGTGGGGCAGGCAAAACCCGCGTGCAGAGAAGGGCCCACAGGGGCCGCGGAGGCAGCCAGGCGCGTCTCCTTTCCCGGTCTTTACCCGGAGGTTAATGACTTCGTCAGCGCCCCCTCGTTCCAAACTGCCCATTTACGACTCCTCGGTCTCCTTAAGGCTGTCCAATTAATTAGTCGGTTCGGGAGGCTAGAAGTGGACCTGGCAGGGTACCGCTAGATCGTTTGTTCATTGTGGGGAGGAAGGGCTCATCCAGGAGGGGAAATCCAGGGACGGGAAATGGGGGCAAGTGGTGCAGGCGCCGGAGGCCGCAGGGAGCCAATGTTTTCGTGCGCGGACTAGCCGAGCCTAGGACCCACTCGCCCCCAGAGCAGAACCGCCTCAAGAGGCTCTCTAGGAAAGGGCGCCCCGCCCCGCCCCGCCCCGCCCCAGCCTCTGCAGGTCCCCGCGCGCGGAGATCCCGCTTGGGGCGAGGCGCTGGGTCAGCGTTCACAGCCGCTCCCCGCGCCGCCCGCCGCCCGGGGCTGGACGGAGCCCCCCAGCTCATCCCATCTCCTCCGGAAGAGGGCAGAGGCCGTGAGTCTACCGGCCCTTGGCGTTGCAGCGTCCGAGGGGGAACCCGCGGAACTGCGACCTCCCTTCGCCCCTTTATTGCCGCTTCCGGACGCCTGGGCGGATTTGAAAGCCTCTTTTCGAATCCCTCCTCCAGGTTCCCGCCTCAGGGGGGCCGGGGGCTCCAAGCCAGGCCCCGCCAGGCTTCCTGATTCCACCCCTGCCGCGCCAGCCTGCAGCTGGGCGGGCGTGTGGCGGCGGCGGCTGGAGGCGCGCGGAGTCTGTGCGGCTACTGCTGCCGGCCGCCTTCCGGCCCCGGCGACCTCCCGGTCCTCCTGCCCGCAGCGGGGAGGCAGTCGCTCAGCCAGAGCTGGGACCTTCGCTCCGCGCCCCGCCGGGATGTGATTCCCAAAGGAGCACTGCGGAGCGCGTGTGCCGTCGGGGACGGCTGCGCTGGCCCGGGAGCGAGGGAACCCTGCATAGGACTTGGGGTCGTTCGGCGCAGTTCCAAGCGTGTCTGGAGTTGGGGGACAGAGGGGCGCATCGGTCTCAAACCCCTCGCGCGGAGGGGCGACCGTCCCGATCCCCAGGAGACCTGGTCCCACGGTAGAGGGCAGTGACGCAGTTTCTCCCGGCGGCTGCTGCAGGAGTCGCAAGGCAGGGACAGCTCAGACCGCAGGAGGAGCGGCGGGGGGAAAAGGTTGCTGCGAGGAGCTTCACCTCGGAGCCCAGGAGGCCCCCGGGACCAAGGAGCGCACCGGCTGAGAAAGAGGTAAGGGGCTTAACGAATAGAAATTTGGCTCCTCTCCCTTTTTATTGTTTTAAAGGATGAAGTCTCTGGATATTGACTCTTCTCGCCATAAAAGAGTTTTGGGCAATCTGATTACTCCTGGCAGGTCAGGGCGGAGGCGCTGGGGCCTTGGCCATAGTTAAAGGGGGGTGAAAAAAAAAAAGGTTGGATGGTGAAGGCTCAGTGAAGGCTCAGGAGTTCATGGTTGTTTTTCTCATTATGATTAGTTAATAGCCAGGTTATTTTGGACTAAGCCCTCACTTCCACTCCAGCCAAGATTCAGCCTTGAACAGCTGCTTTTGAAGAACAGAGGGTTCTTCAAAAGCAAAGGGCTGAGAAGGGGGCAACACAGAGCTGGGCCTCCAATCCCATGGGCTATGGGATAGGGATGGGGAAGCTTTGGCCTTCATTATTCCTGCAAGACAAAGACTGTTCTTCCTATAACTGGGGCTGAGGAAGGGGAGGAAGGGAGGTAGGGCAAGGATGGAAAGTTGGCTGAGGGTAGCCACTCCAGCATCTTGCTGAAGAAGAAGGAGTTGAGATTTGGGCAACTTTTCAGGCCGTGGTGGCTTTTGCCCCTTGCTTTACAGACAGGGGTGGGGAGAGGAGAGAACCTGGGTGCTTCTGCAGGTGGAGCTCAACCCGGTAAGCACTGAGATAAAAGCTCAAGGTGGGGGGAGGGGAAACCCACATGAGAGACCATATTTGGTCTCAACATTTTTCAGGCACAGACTCCTCTGATCTATCCAAATAGCAGTTCTTTTTTTTTTTTTTTTTTTTGGTTAATGTCTTAACCTGACATTCCAAGAGTCTAACATCCTTGAAATGGTGGGATTTCATGGCTCTACAAGAAGGCCCTAGTCATCTTCTGAGAAGCTCTGGGAGGGGAAGGAAGCAAGGGAAGCATGGGGAAAGGAAGGGAAAGGCCATAGACCTTTCAGTCTAGCTACCTAGAGACTGAGCTCTGAACCCCAAAATCTGAAAGCTCAAACTGGCACCAGGGGCACATTACCAAACTGAAGAGTGGAAAATTGCAAGTCAACCAAGGAGAAAAATTTTCTGTCAAGATGGGTCTGGATGTTTAAGCAGATTACAGATCTGGGTGTTTTCAAGGATTTCTGCCCCCCTTTTCAGCTGTTCCGGATTTTTGAGTGGGCTCTAGGGCCTGTGGGGCAGCCAGGCAGGAGAGGGATCTAGACCTCCAGTCCCTGGATCTCACCTCCACCTTGTGAACAGCCCAGGGTCCTCTGCTGGCCAGGTCAGGGCCAAACCTGCCCTCACAGAGCCCCAGTTGGTGGCAGGCCTTGCCTCACCCCCCTCCGCCCTGAGGACTCATTTCTCTATAAGCCCAGACTTCTGCCCAGACTGCACATTCCCTCCACATCAGGCCACCCAAACAACGGAGCATTTTTCTTCTTCTTCCTGTTTTTGAAAATTGCATTAGTCTCAAATCCTTAGTTCCGCTTAAAGAAGATGTGCCATTGGATTCTTGGGGTGTGAGGGACCCTGGTATCAAACAACCTCTAGGCATTGGACAGCGGTTGCTTCTCTGATGACTTAGCACCTCCAATCACAGTTCTCAGTGCCGCCTGGATGGGTCACACATTCCCTCCTTTCCCTCTCCATCCGTTCCCTCCAAGCCCAGAAAAGTCCTACATTTTCCGTCTTTCTGTGCTTGGAGAGAAAGAGAGGACAAAACCCAAGAGGCAGAGAACAAGCAATGAGGGAGGAGAAAACGAGGGAGGTAATTCCAGTAGGTTAAAAGAATCTACGTCTCTTTCTAAACCAAATGCATCTGAAACCTGATGTTTGTTTTAATCAGGAAGAGAAGTTGGAGGCAGGGTGGGTGGGGGACTAAGTTCCCAGCATAACAGATGCTCCAGTCCTGGGGTCAGTGGCTTCTGAGGCGGTGAGAAGTCAAAACTCTCCTGAGCCTCCCAAAGTGCAGTGTGGAAAAATGAGGGGCTCTCCTTTTAGGCCTTGGAGCTTTCCCACAGAACCTTGCCCGGGGTTAGTAAAGCCCTTCCTTGCATTTCTTCTGGGGCAGTGTGCACACCTGTATGTGTGTGTTGGGGTGGTGGTTCTAAGCCACCGCAGAGGACAGGCAACTCACCACCTGGGAATCTGGTGATATGGTCCGGAGTGGAAGGGGGTTTCATCCCTTCTGGGCTGGGGGAGTGAGGAGCCTCTCCGGATTTAAAGCCAAGTGCTCCAGATTCTAAGGAAAGGGAGAAGCTGCAGCTCCAAAGAGGGATTTGCAGGGAAATCAGGTGAGGAAAAGCCTCAGTCTCTCTCCCTCCAAGGATCAGAGAAATACACTGAGAAATGTGAACTTTCAGTCAGGGAACACCTCCTTTCCATTATGGGTCATTGTGTTTATACGGATACTGGAAAGGACAGTTCTGTACTGTATGTTTCCACATTTAGCATAACTGGAATATATGAAACTGACCAGGCACTGATCTAATTTGGAAGATGGGAGTGTACAGGTATGCATGTGAATTTCCTGCCTGCAACCCTTATTAACTGAGCACAATTGGGAGCATATAATTTCCTGTCTCTTTTGCATGTTTTTACCAATCCTCAATCTTTACATGATGCTTAAATACTGAGAGAGACACAGCTGCCATGATACAGGAGTTCCCCACTGATTCCTGAAGTTTACTAATTCCTCAGAGACCCCACGATACTTCATAACCCTTTATGCTTACTTCTTTCTACATGCCTTTCAACAGTACTTATGGACCCTGAATTAGTCTGTACAGATTGAGGTCCTTTCTCTGCCTTCTGCCCCTTACCACAAACAACAGGCGCCTCTACAAAAAATGCACAAGCATCATTTTTGTGAGTGTGAGTTTCAAGTAAGATGGCGGCGCCAGACATCAGTCCAGATTCGGATACATGCTTTCCCAGGCAGGAGGCCACACTAGCCCCAGTACAATCCAGAGGGCAAGGAAATCTGGGTCCCCTTGCAGTAGCAGAAAAACAGCCAAAGGCAAGAGACTGCTTGGATCATTCTCCCTCCATCCCTTCCAGGGGACTTCTAGAGAGAGAGCTGATTCTGCACCCGGGAAGCCTGGTACTCCGGTCTGAACCCAGAGTTCTAGGCCAATTTCTAATTGCCATGGAGAAAGAATAACCGTTGTCCATTTCCAAGCTACCCCCACCCACGAGGCTGTTGGGGACAGCCGCCCGGTCTCTCTGGCTGCATCCGCTTGGAATCCGGATTTGCAAGTGGGGAGACCTGATGGAGAGGGCCTGAGGCTGCGCGGGGACTCAGCACCCGGCTCTAGGGAGCGAGGGCTGCGGGGAAAGGGTGGGAGGCGAGGCTCTGTCCCCTTACACACCTTCGCTTGTGTAAGGAAGAGTCCAGTGCGAGAGGGGCAGGGGCGGGGAGCTCAAGGCGTTGAGGGGGTGCCCCGAGGCCCCACACGGGAAGCTAGATTGCTCGGGAGCCCAAGGTTAACTGGCGTCCCGGGTGGCCCACGCCGGCCACGGCCGATCAGTCCTCAAAGCGCTGCAGGGGAACTGCCGGGCCCCAGAGGGGTCTTTCACGCCTCCGCTTTGATCTGCGTGGTCCCGGCCCCCAGCAGCGAGAGGCTGGACGGGGAGTGTCTCACCTACCTCTCCGAACAGCGCCGTCCTCCACGCGTCCTCAGAGGCTGCAGGGACTCGGGGTTCTGGGCGCTCCAGAGCCTAAGGACGCAGGTGACGACGCCGGGGCCAAGGGCTCAGCCGCAGCGGGTTGCCGCCCCCCCCCCCCCCCCCCCGGCCCAGTGAGGCCTCTGGGCGCAGTGTCTAGATCTGGGGCAGCGGCGCCGAGAGCGGCGCTGGGGGCGCGAGGGGACTGGTGCGTGCTCAGTCCCCCTGGCGCCAGCGAGGGGGTGAGGGGGCGAGGACAGGGCCTAGGCGGCGGATTGGCGCGGGGCGGGGGCCCCCTTGTCCGCCCGGGCGGGGCTCCCGCCAATCTCACCTGCCCCCTTCCTGCGGCGCCGTCGGATGACCGCGCGGCGGCTCCAAGAGTGGGCCTTGCGCCCTCTGAAAGGCCAGAGCCGAGGAAAGGCGCCGAGATGGCCGGCAGACAGAGACTCGTGTGTGTGTGTGTGTGTGTGTGTGTGTGTGTGTGTGTGTGTGTGTGTGTGAGAGAGAGAGAGAGAGAGAGAGAGGGAGAGAGGGAGAGAGGGAGAGAACGGACAAGAGAGAGGGAGATGCGGGGAACGCTTCCTAGAGAAGCCGTCAGATGCAGAAATAGACAAAAGACGTAGGGGAGAAAGAGTCTGGGGGACAGAAAGAAGCCCCGGGGTTTCTGAAGCGACAAGTTGTCCTTGGGAGTTGGGAATGTGAGAGGGAGGGGCGAGGACAGAGGAGTCTGAGAAGAGGAGGGGGCGCTCAGACCCTTGGCTGGAGGCGACCTACGTGGATGCAGAACCGCGGAAGGAGAGCGCGGGACCCTCCTCCTTCTCCCCTCCCCCAGACCCTCACCCTGTTGCAGCCCATCTCCGGCTGGATGTAGCAACCGGCTTGGCTTCCCGCGCGCTCCCTTCCTGCGGCCCCACCTATCAGGGGCTCGGTCCCGCCTGGGGGACAGCACCCGGCTGAGGGCTGCCCTACTACCTGTTCCTTTCTTCTGTTCTCAGGGCCTTAAGTGGGATTCTCCCCTCATTAAATGATAAGGACAAGTGAGGCCAAACGAAACGACCTTGGCCAAGGTCAAGGAAGAACTTGAAAGTTTCACTTTCCCTCCCAGCCTTTAGGATCCCTTTGTGTCTTTGCCCTTCTGGTTACCAGAGCAAGATCCTGAAACCGCAGGCTCTCTCTTGCTTTTGCTCTGAGACCCAGCTAAGGATCCAAACTTACTCAGAATCAGCGAAAGGGCGCAAAGAGCCCATCTGGCTGGTCTCCAGACCCGAGACCTCTCTCCTAGGCCAGAATGAGGCGGGGGACCCACTGGTAAGGCAGCTCCGTTCCTGCAAATGGTTGTC